TCTGTTTTTGCGCCGGAAATCGTCACCAGTTAGTAAATGACGTCATCTTTAGCTCCTTTGACTCTACGTGCACCTTGTCCAGACTCGGTGCTTCGGAGCTTGGTTCCGAAGTTCCGGAGTTACGTGCACCGGAAGTGACTTTTGGCCGTCCAGTGGAAGGAGTCAGTGACTAATTGACTCCGGGGCCAGTACTGAACGCGCCCATTGGCTCCAAGCAGTGCTTTGAAACCGCCACCGCGGACTTTAGTCTCGGTTGAAGCGTCGGAGTGGTTCTCCAAGTTCAGAGTACAAGTTTGCGACATACCCTAATTTGAACCCTCGTCCTTGAGTACCGAGCCTTCTACCACCTGGCAGGCCGGTAGTCGGTTTTATTTTGGGGCTCCCCCCATGTCAAATTGCCCTTGGAGAAGGGGGGAGGGGGGGGGGTCGAATTTGTTTGGGAGGGGGCGGCCGCCCCATCGCCCTCGCCCCCCCCCCCCCCCCCCCCCCCCCCTGGATCCGCCCCTGGTTCTAGTAGAAAAATGCATGAGCAGGTTGTCAAGCGAGCGCAGGCACACCCTTAGACAAGGAAGTTAGATCCTGCTGGCTTTAGAGTTGTAGTGACCTAGACTAGGCTTCCCCCAAAGCCCTTGTGCGCCTTTTGTGGTTTAACGTTTGCTCCCAAGCTCGTTCAAAAGCGTTTCTTTTTTCATGCGATATTATAAACCTGAGACGAACGGATGACAAAGGGACAAACACACACGTCTCCGTAACGTTAACCATATCGCATATTTAATACCTTCCTTCTAATTTCGCGGATTCTTTCATCCTCGTAATATTTGAACCAAGCTTTCCGCGAAGTGGAGGCAGTTTTTTTGAAACTATTCTTATTCTGGAATATTTACCTTCGTGGCGTCAAGAGAGTTTTCGTGGACACTCTCCCGCGTTTGCTGTGTTTCCTTTTTGACATATATTAAATTTTATTTGCCAGGCTCAAGGTACGGGTGTTCCTCCTCGGCCTTGACTGGGAGGACGAATTATTCGCCCTTGGTTGTTGATCAGCGACCGAAACTACTGTCCTCGAGTCGATGTTTCTCCTGAGCGTGCCTGTGTGTCGTTCACTCGCGTTCTGATCAACAAGTGTGGCTGTCTGAACAACTACTTCGGCTGTCACGGATATGCAACGCCGATCTACATGTGATGTCTCTCGAATCGCGGCAAGGCATATAAAGAACTTATTGCGGAATGCGCCAAGAGCCGAACCTGTCGCCAAACCAAAGAACCGCAGTTAAGATGTCTACAATACTTGAGTCTCTTTGGTTCCTAAAATCTTTTGGCACCCAGTATTGATTTTTATTTACAAGGTACCTACAGCGTCCTGTTGGCATTATTCTAGATCTTTTTCCAAATGCACTATGGTATACAATAAAATAAAAAGTTGTTGTCGTCAATACACACAACTTAAACGGGAAGGCTATCCCACTCTCTCCCTGTTTTAACAAAAAACAAGTTTCCAAAACTCTCGGTTTCGTGACTCGGTTTTATGCCGCATATCCCTAATTATTTTCAGGTAGCCTTCGAGTCCAGTAGCTAAGGCTCGTTTTGAGGGTCATGAAGCTCACAGAAAATAGTGATTTGCAGCGAAGTCTTTACTTTTTTATTCTTTTATAACCGGCTTGCAACATGCGCTTGCAAAGCATGTTTAAAAGTAATTCAATTATTTTCTGAAAGGATTTGTACTCTACTTGATATGGTTCGCTGTAAAAGTTACTTGAATGCGACACTAATTTTATTTTTTTAAATGGGCTTCTTGTACTTTATCTTAAATACTTTTGTTGCGTATTTGGCAGAACACTAATGCAACACGCAGTGCAAAAAGCGCAACGTCACGGTCGTTGTCTGCCAGAGCGTATGCTATTGCCGACTAAACTAATGAAGCGCATCGCAAGCATGCACCGTGACATTGCGGTTTGAATATGTGCGTTTGTGCTTTTGTTTCAACTTTCTTCCAGTTTTAGATTTGCACGTTCAGGGCTGTTCGTTGCTTCGTCGTTGCTCAGTGGTGCCGGCCTCCTAACAATCGACACGTGACTTTCAAGAAGGTCTATAACACCGCGAAAAACACGCCTGTTTGTGAGTGTCGTCGCATGCGAGTGTAGCTAGGGTAGCACATGGGCTACTAAGCTGGCGTAAAGGGAAAATTTTCGAACCCAAATACCGTCCTTCTGAGTAGAGCGCGTTGGGATAGCGCAAGAACTTCAGAAATAATGAAACATAAATAAAAAAAACACACTGACAGTACGTCTTACCAGATACACTGTCCGTGTTCTTTCCTTAGATGTTTCGTTATTTCTGTTTTTTTACAAATATCGTTGCACGAACCCTTTACATGCTATTGTAGTGGCTCTACAGATAATATTCCTTTTTTTAATCTTGCTCCCAATTTCGCTGAAACCACAATCAACTTTCGTGCAGATATTAAAAAGTAAAACAGTTTTGTTATATTAAGAATGCATCTCTCGAGTCTGGGCAGCTCCTTTATCAAGCATATCAGATACTTTACGGTCGCGCTTCGGTTGGACGACAATACGCTTCCTCACGTTGCTCGTGGAGAGTAATCTGGCAAATTTACATTGATCGCTATAAATTTGTGAGAGTAAAGAAGGACACAAAAGTAAAAAAAAATTAATTCGTATCTTTTTGATAAAAAAACAAAAGCACAATCTCTTTTAATTTTTTTTTTAACTCGCTGCTACCGCGCATAATCAGATACTGACTCGCGCCTACAAAACAACCGTAACTCGTGCATGATCAAATACTGCAGTGCTGCTTTATCCTTGATGCAGATATTACACGGTCGCGCCTTCCGGACGGGCCCCCGCGACCTGGCCAAGAGAAACACCTAGGCATATTCTAGCAAACTACCTGGCCGGACAGGACGTGACTTTTGAGAAGAAATTTGCCTCATCAATAGGCTTAAAAACAGACGGTATTACACCTGGCAATTGTCGCTCAATCTTTGCCTACCAGTTTTTGACATGAGGGTCATCTGGACACTATACTCACTGAGGGGTTTTAGGTATTATGGCCGAATTATCGAGTTCTGGGTACGTTGGTGGGATTCATTCTACAAGCTGGTTATCTTTTTGTAGTCGCCGTGATCATGTAGATATAGGTGTAATATAAGAGGTGTTTATGGTTCTCGTGAAATATCTGGCATACCAGTTTTAAAGTAGCTGCATAGTTTAACTTTTTATACTACCTCTGCACCACCTGTTCACTGATTTATAGGGGATTATGCGTTCATCCTCATGCAATAAAAAAAAAGAGACGACGGTGTGTATCTTAACCAGTGAGCCCGATGGAATTAAATATGGTATGTCAGATATTGAAAGTATAGTTTACGTGTAAACCCTGCACAGAATTAGACAGGACCAATCATTTTCACCCCTGGTAGTGCCAAACACATTACAATGCAGTTGTGCCCGTTACCGAAAAAAGTAACGAAATAGCGTTACTCGTTAGTTTGGTAAAAAGTAACGCGTTATCGAGCTACGTTACTCTTTTACAAACGTAACGATATACCGTTACCGTTACTTTTCAAAAATAACGAACGTTACTTTTACGTTACTTTTGTGTTCGAGTACATATGTCTGGCAGAGATGTATGATAAGCCTCCTTAACAAGCTCGGATAAAGATAGAAATGTACAGAGTGGTTTCATAGTGTTTTGACGCGAGAAGCAGCTTGATTTTCGGCATGCAGAATAGGCATTGAAACTGTAAATTACTTGATTCTGTCTCCTTTAGTTGATACATTTCATTCAGACCTGCTAACCTTGGCGACGGAGTTTCGTTATTCATGCCCATCTCACGCACTGAATGAGTCGGAGATGTTAGTCAATCGGCTTTTATAAACTACAGCAGGCGAACGGGGACTGCTGGAACACAACCAGCCAACCAACACCCCTCATCTGTACGCCGGTTTTCGTAACAGACCGGTTCATACTAGTACCAGAGACTGATTTACTTCACTATTTGGAACGGGACACCGGTTACCAGCACACTGACTATGATCACTTGCTGCCTTTTACCAGCAGTAGCTCTTAGCGTTTCTGTGAAAAAAAAAAAAAAAAAGGTTTCGTGTTTGTAAGTTTTTTTTCCAGGTATTTTTTTTATCATGACCTTAGGAAATTAAAGACTAATCAAGCGAAAGATTCCGTCTGCAAAAGTGGTTCAGTAACTTTCGGGCAGCGAGGGGGAGAGCGAGGGTAAAAAAATTCCACACAGGGTGTTTGTTTCTTTTTTTTTTTTTTTTGAAACTAGAGAAATGAGCAAATCGCTTCGCAACCAGTTGTCCACTGTTGTAAACAAATGTCTCTCCCCCCCCCCCCCCCCCCCCCCCGCTGTCCACCTCTGCTGCACAAAGCAGAGGGGGAAGAGGAGGGAGGGGAGGGGGCTGTAACGCAGTCGTTCGTTCAAGCTTTGTGGGTGGTGACACTATGAAAAAAAAGAAAAAGGAGGATGAACGGAATTAGCTGGTAGCCGCAGGATTTTTTGGCCTTCAAGAAGTGAGCTTTTTTTTTTTTTTTTTAACTTTACTCTGACGGATGCTGGTTCCGTGAAGCGATAAGCTGGTGCAGGATTTTGAGACGAGCATGTGCAGGATTTCACCAGTTTTGGTCAAAAGTAACGAGTAAAGAGTAACGAAATTCGACAGCCGATACCGCAAAAAAGTAACGGAAATACTTTACTCGTTAGTCATTCAGAATACTAACGAGTACGTTACTGCGTTAGCGAAAAATGTAACGCGTTACCAGTAACGTCATTAAAAGTAACGCGTTACCTCCAACACTGTTACAATGCCAGAAAAGTTTGATACTGATCTGCCATGCTACCCTCAGAAAAGTAAAGGAGAATTATCAACAACTTTATTTTTTATGCACTAGCCGGGGTGTCGCTTCAAGGTTACCTGTGAGAAAAAGAAGCGCCCAGGCGCCAAAAAGCTGTCCTGGTGACTTACCACTTCACCGTTCGAGCAAACCCCTTCTGGCAACTTCGGCCGTTGTCCATTTTCGCATATAAGGGTGCAGTTCTTTGGATCATAGGTATTGTAATACTGAAATGCATCGGCATAATGTCACGAATAAAATTGTGTAGTGTAAATATGTAAGTACAATCTTTAAAACTTGAAAAAAAATCGAAAACACAAAGTACATTAACTGGCGTCGCTTACGTCAATCTTGTTATAACAACGTTATCTAGATCTAGGGCAACGCTAACTGCTGCTGCTGCGGTTCTCTCTCTTGAACACAACGGCAGCTATCGGTACAGTTATTGAGGGGGCGCTGCTGACTACTGCGGGTGTCTGAACCCGAGGGTAAGTAGCCAGAGCTGAGATTTGTAGGAGACCTGACCGTGTCCATGTATAGAATGTACGTGGTCAATTCTGGCCGATTCCGCTCATCACACGTCAGCCTTGCCTGTCGCTCTATTTAACTTTTTCTCAACACAGTGTTCCCCAGAAGTAGGCATTTACACATTCCTTAACAATATTAACTAAATTTCCTTACTCGTTACTCGAACAAAAAGTAACTTAAATTTAGAACTGTGCTAAGAAAACTTATCGGAAATACGGAAACACGTCCTATCTCATGAGAGCGCGCTGTCCTGGCGCCAGTCGAAGAACTGCTCTATGACGTAGCGCTCAGGGAAGAAACCCGGACAGTTGGGACCGCTGGCTAAATGATGAAATCACCGCTGAACTGCAGAAAACACAGCAATTTCGGCATTGAGGTAATCTACGCTTTTAGCCACCCCCTTATTCATCGTGTATATATGTGACTACAGAAATCGTCAATGTATATATGGCTCCTTCAGTAAAAACCTCAAATACTGAATCGATAACGCAATCAGTGATAGTTTCAAAACGCGCATACACCTCTTCGTGAAAAAAGGTGGCGATATGTAAAAAGGTGGCCATAGGCGATAGGATTGGCTGGCCGGAAAGATGGCTAACTTTGGTCACGGTAAAGCCGCGATTTCGACCTTGGGCGAGCGGCCTCCCCTGTTTGCACTGTTCCGTTGAGCTCTTAAGTTATGACGTACTTATACAACTGCCGTCAGCATCGCACTCCTATGAGATCAGACACCGTTCGCGTGTTCCGGTTAAGCTTGATGAGCACAATGCGTTACTTGGGAAAACAAAGGAATCGCGTTACTTTCTCGCTCCTCTGGATGCGTCTTTTTCCGGAAGCAGTAGCTGCCTTCCATGCTTTTTGTCGATAATAATTTGTCGCTTTTTGAACCAATCGTGGGCATAACAAATTCACAGATCAGTTTTACCTGATAGAATGCCTACCCCGTTCAACCTCATACAATTATTCGCTTCACCTGACACGAGCGCCGTGTATTTTATTTCTGAAAACATGCTTGCGCTTATAGAGACAAGAGGGAAGAAAGGACAACACACTGTGGTAACGTAAACTGTATACTTCTCGGAAATCTACGGGAATACATACTATACGCCATCACACCACTCAACCAGATCCGTACCCCACTGCTGTTCGCAAGAAGTGTGTCTCATTAGCTGCGAAGCCACGCTGACGCATTCGTCCTCAAAACTTTTGATTTAGTTCTTTTTAAACATCGGAGTTAAAAAACAGCGCGGAAAGGCGAGGACCAGACGAAGAAGTAACACGGACGCAGCGCTGTGTCCGTGTTACTTCTTCGTCTGGTCTTTGTCTTTTCGCGTTGCTTTTTAATTCCGAAGTATGTACCAACTCACCCAAGCCTCAACTTCAGCTTCGTTCTTTTTAATCAATTCACTCGCCGTTCTTTTTAAGCGTGTCGTGTTAGATTCCGGAGGGAGGGACGAGAACGCAGGAACGTCAAGCCAGGGTAGTGTTTTAGATGATATAATTAAAAAGATGAGAAGATGAATGGTAGCTCTCGGCTCAACCAGACCGAGCGTTCCTCTGGTCGCGCGCCGCGCCTGGTCCCGTGCTCCCCTTTTTATATGCGATCCGTTGATGCACGTCAAGGCTTGCGCTGCCTTCGCTCCGATTGATTAGTAGAGCGGGAGGTGGTAGCGACAGCAATTTGGCTGCAGCCAGTTGTTCAGGATGGCGCGAATCGTTCGATGGTAGTTGATGAAGAAGTAGTCTCGCGCCGTGGCATGCTTGCGGATGGTAAGTGCCCGGGTCCTGTGGTCTGCTGTACAGGTCAGTGGTCCACAGTCTTGCATCCGAAGTCATCTAGATGCATCAACATATAGCCATATCGATGCCTGCTGACGTTTTGGTACGCGTTTTGCTAATGCTGTTAAATCTAAAAAATGGTCTGGCGTAGGCCTTGAGATGGTTCCAAATATTTTGTTTTTGTTTTAATTATATGCAGAGTCTCTGGCACGTTTGTGACGTTAATAATTAACACTTCGTTTGTCACCAGTGAGGTTTCGAATGATTGACTCTTAGCACGTGCCATCCTTGTCTAGATGAGACCCGTTATCGCTTACAACTATCATCCCATTTCTCTCACTTGTGCCTGTTGCGAACTAACAGAGCATATCATTTCCAACTTTATTTCTTTCTTTTCGGAAGAAAATAACCTTCCAACATTGTTTCAGAACGGGGTTTTCCACCACAACTCAGTTTTTCACCATGGTTCACGACTACGCTGCTAGTCTCGATAAATCTAGTGAGGTAAACGTTATATTGTTGGACTTCAGTAAAGCCTTTCAGAGGGTCCATCATGAAAAATTAGTATTTAAATTAAAAAATGTTGGCATTTTGATTGGTGTTGTTAAATGGATTAAATTATACATACAAGGACGTAAACATTTCGTTCATAATAGTGGGGATTTTTCAAATGGGTTGCGTCTATCTTCGGGCGTACCCAAGGGCAGCGTTCAGGGGCACCTTGTTATTTCTAATTTACATTAATGACATTGTGTCAGTTATCGATGAAGGTGTGACCATTATACTTTTTGCGTAGGATTTTGTTTTGTTCAATCATATAACTAGCTTATCTGACCAGTATGCATTAAAATCTTTAGTTTCAATAATTGCAGATTGGTATGTCGAATGGCAAATAAAATTACAATCAGAAAGGACTGTTTCACTACGGGATACCAACAAAAAAATTCCACTTTTGTTTATTTACGATGTCTGTAGCTCCCCTTTGCGCAAAGTTTCGGAGTATAAGTATCTAGGCCTGACGATTTCTAAAACTCTCTTATGGGATAAACGCATCGATAACATCTGCTCATTCGCATTTCGTACACTTTGTTTCCTTAGGCGCAAAGTAAAAAAAACACCATCTAGCGTCAGAATTTTAGCTTATAACACTTCTGTGCAATCGAAACTTGAATACGCCAGCCTTGTCTGGGATTCTTTCGTTAAAAAGAACATTTCGAAGCTGGAAATGATTCAAAGGCGCGCGGTCAGATTTTTCTATGGAAAATTTAAAAGATTAGACTCTCCATCGCACCTTATGAAAACGAAGGGCATAGCTGCACTTGAGCTGCGCGGGAAGCTGTCCAGGCTAAAATGTTTATTGCTTATTATACGAAACAATGCACTACTTGGCACGCATAATCACAACATCCCGTTAATGCAAACAAACTACGAGGAACCATAATGAACATTTAATAACACCAATTTTTGCAAGCACTAATCGTTTCAAATTTTTTTCTTTCCCCACACCATCTCTGGATGGAACTCTACCTTCTAACGTTTTTGAGGATAACGATTTTTGTTATGCCATTGATAGTTATTTTTCTTAGATGTGCTTACTTCCTCCGTATAAAATATCTTGCATGTTACTGTTTTCCCGTCCCTCCCCGGTATTGCACTTATTGGTATATGCTTCGAATATGTATATCCGTCTGTTTTATTGTTGGCTTCAAACCTGCTTACTTCTATTTTACTTGTTATTTCCACTCCCGCTTAAGCCAGTCTCTGGCCTGCAGTACGTTTTAGATTAAAAAAAAAAGTTCGCGTGATCTATTATTAAAACATATTTATTTCTGGCCTAGACATTTCCTGCCACGCGTCAACGAGATCTGCTTCGCGAAACTTTTTGAACGTACAACAAACAGGTTCCTGTGCTCCCTCGGACAGCATATCGGTATTTTTCGGAAGGATGTATTTTCTCTTAATTGCTCCTATATTTGTGCAATGTGTCGCGAAGGTGCTAGCATTGTATGCATGCTATAACATATTGGTGGTTTCCACACGAGACGCACGTATTTGATAAAAAAACTTTTTAAACAATCAATAGTTTTTACTAGTAATGATGTTACTTTGGATTATCTAATAAAAAATATCTACTTTGTGTTTGATTGTTTTTCATGTATGGAAAAACTCACAGTGCCTAGCGATCCGCATTTTGCATCTCCACCTTGGTTAAGATAGCCCTCGCAATTGCTGATATATTGGGTACCAGACACCGCTGAAACAAAAATATTTCAAATTAAGGTACGATTTCGCTGGATCACGTCAAAAGCTTACTTTAGAAATAAGCACGCAGACCATTTTATTTTAGCTTTTTGTATTCTTAATTTTATTTTACCGTTACCGTCAGCTTCAAATCAAATCAAATAAAATCCTTTATTTTATTTATTTATTTATTTATTGATCTCCGATTGGAGATTTTGTAAGGGTGGGCAACAATCATCACTGGCAATACAGTGAGAGAAAAATCAACTCAAGAATTAACAGAGTCAGCACTATGCATATTGCAACATTCAAAATGTCAACACTTACAGGTCTACATAGAAAAGGAAATTTAACATCATAATACCTATCAGGTTTGCACAGCAGAGTCCACCGAGTACGAAGCAGAAACATTCAAGAAAAATTGCGATAAAGTTCGCGTAGAAATAAGGCATATTCGGTTTCTCTATTTTGAGAGGAAAAACAAAGAAAAAAGCAACCGAACAGTTGCTTGACAGGTCTCCATATCCCCTCAGCCGCAGTAAAGACGAAACACACAAAAAAGAAATGGTATATGTAATTATTCGTTTCAAATAAAAAAAAGCAATGAAAATGACCACACGTTATGCACCCACACTAGCGTTGTAGCCTCAACAAAAAATAATAGCAAATGTTTGTTTACCAGAGACCAAAAGTTTCCTCAAACGATTGAAGACACGCTGAAGAGTATTTCGCGACATCTGCTTTTCATAATTTGTTCTGGATTGCGGCACTAACCACGTATCTGCGCTGCGTGTACCATAAATCGTTTCTCTAACTGTAAGCTGGAAAATAGACAGAAATACATTGTCTTCGTGATGAAAAGACTTTTTATAGGTGATGCAAAGTTTATATAATACGCACAACCTTTTTTGTAGAATTTGTATCTGCTTAAGATTTGTGGACGTTCTATTTCCCCAAACCATAAAGCAGTAATTATAAGGCACGTAAAATATAGAATTATATATAAGAAGCATTGCTGACATTGGGAGTATATAACACCTACGACCTTTGAGAGTTTTGACATGTATAATGCACCATTTCATGCCATAACATGTATTGATCAAATATTACACCCAAAACTCTAACACTTTGGACTATATCTATATTATGGATACCAAGCAAGAGAGTGGAGGCATGAAAGAAATTTGTATTTCTTGCCCTAAAAAGAACGGCTTTAGTTTGACCACAATTAATTTTTCAAGGAATTAAACACTGACCAAGTATTTCATTCATCAAGAAATTTAGTCGCGGTACTTATGAACTGCCCAGTATCCGTACCCGAAAAAATACACTCCTATCATCCGCGTAGATAATAAAACGTACATTCTCATCAATATTTACTATGTCATTGACATACAAGTTAAAAATAAGTGATCCCAAAATACTACCTTATCGCACTCCAGTTGTTAATGGTTGAAATTAAGATCGCTTTTTATATATTTAAACGAACTGGTAGCGATACTGAAGACAACTTTTAACTATACTTAGGGCTCTACCAAGCACACCGTACATATAAAGCTTTTAAAGCAAAGTATTATGATTGAGGCGGTCAAAAGCCTTTGAAAAGTCTATAAATACTCCAAGTGTTAACAGTTTATTTTCTGTTGCTCTAGACAAACTCCTTTTGTTTTAATAATGCAAGTTCTGTAGATCTACCTTTTCTAAATCTATATTGCCAGTCGGTAAGAATAAAATATTTGTCACAAAAAACTATTCAACTTCTTATGAATAATCTTTTCTAGTCCTTTAGAAAATAATGGTAGAACAGACACTGGCCTAAGATTTCCCAAGTTGTTTTTCCCCCACCATTGTACAGTACCGTCATCTTTGCCACCTGCATGTTTGTTTTGTGGTAAAGTTACATTCTCTAGTGGCAGATTAGAAATATACGTCAGACAGGGTGCAATGCACCGCAATACATATTTTCTAGGTTTAATTTAAGGTCATATCTATCAGTGCTCTTAATATTCTTTAAATTTAGAAAAACTGAGTAAACTTCATCTTGGTCACTTGGAAACAAAAAGAGACTATGAGAAATACTCTGCACATATCTAGAAACACAACCATAGTGCACACTTTGGACAGGGTTAACATAATACTCATTGAATCTTTCTGCTAAAATCGATCCCTTGAAGTTAACACCTTCGATTTCCATTTCTGTGATCCAATGTCAATACGATCCTTGCTTAACTAAGCCATTCAAATTCTTCCAGACAACATCTGGTCGCTTAGTACCTAGAAATAAATTGTTAAAATAAGCACGTTTAGCTTGCCTTAAATTCTTTGTTGACTGATTTCGTTCCTTTTTAAATTTAGACATTATACTTTCGTCTTTAGTGTGCACGAATTGATGGTAAAGAGCATTTTTTATTTATCGTTCTTAATATTTCTAATAAAATCCAAGGTTCACGAGAATCGTTGAAACATTTTGCAAGTTGTAAGGAAAACAGTGGTCGTACACCATTCCAAACTGTTCAAGAAAACAGTCAAACGCTTCATCTGCCGACACGCTGGACAGTACCGCACCTTAGTTTACACGATTTAAATTGTGTTCAAAAATTTCATGCGTTTAGCGCTTATATTCCTGGAGTATACTTCCGGACCATGAGTTTCTTTTAAGTTAAATAACTCACATTAGAAAGTATAAATATCGGAAGGTGATTATTAATTGTTTCTCCAACTACTCCGGCAATGGACCTTTTTCACATACCGACGGCATTAGGCGGTGGCTGCACGAACTAAAAATCGAGGAATCGACCTACCTGCGCCACCAGTTTCTTCGCTCTCTGAGCTGCGGCGTGTGCCCAACACGACTTTAGAGAGGGGGCATCCGTGGCGTCCACCCAAACATTGTGTTTTTCTTTCCGTCCACTTTCTTTTCTTTTTTGTGTGTAACACGATTATAAATATATATACATATGCTACAATTACGTGTTCTAATCGCTGATCCACAGCCTCCCTCCAAATTCCCTCGATTTGTCGTGCCTACTTCCACCGCTTGGCATCGGGCACTCGCGCATGCGCAGTCCGCTTTTCGGAAAAGGTCTATTACTTTCGATGCAAAAAGGTTTGTTAAAAATAAGTTTCGTAACGCCTCTTGTACAGGTGTTACACGAGTAGGTTGAAGAATAACATTGGACAACTCATACGATTAATATAAAGTTATCAGTTCTTATTTATGATGAGAGTTCGCATCCCAGCCACAAGAGGCTCATTCCAATCTCGTGTGTATTTTTAATGAAATTCATTAACAAAACCAATGCCTCATTTTTAAAGCATGAGATGCTTTTAAAGGTGCACTCCGATCCCAAATATTTGTCCGTCCGTCCATACATTTTCCGTTAAATTTACAACGAAAGTGGCGTCATATGACGTCACCTGACGTTACGTGACCCATTGACCTCTTCCACAAGGGCGCCGCCATCTTGAATATCGTCACCACCAGTATGGACGAAAAAGTTGTTTTGCCAGTAGAATACTTTTAGGATATCGGCGTAGCTGTCACCAATCCTCGTTTCGCCTCCATTCTATTTTTTGTTGCTATTTTCAGGTTGTAATGTTTTATTATTGTTTCGTCGCCCATCCCGGATATGCATACCACGCGGCTGGGGACGTGAGTGAAGGGAAAAGTTATATACACCTCTGGGAAATTGACGGCACGTGACCTAGACGTCAACTCTGTTTTTCCACTAAATTTAGTGGAAAAATTCACGTCTTGCGACCAAAAAATTAATTCAGTTTTCCCTCTAAATTTAGCGGAAAATTCACGTCACGTTACCTATGCACCAATTAGTTACCCGCTAATTTTAGCGTAAAAATTCAAGTCTCACTATCTAGACACTGGCCAATCCAGTTTTCGCTCTAAATTTAGCTAAAGAAATCGACGTCACAAGGTTTATGCAACTATTCAGTTTCCCCTTAATTAAGCGAAAAAATATGTGACGTGACACACCCATTCCCTCACACATTCTCACCAATACACTATAATGCATTTTATGCATTAAAGGAATTTAAAGGTAAAGGAAGCTTCCAATATTATCTTTTTATTAAAAATGTATGAACTTTGATTGGTCAGAACCGTCTTTCTCATTTGATCACCAATATCATTGTTTTTATTTTATATTAGGGATGCCCCTGCTAATCTATGCACTTTTTATTTATTTCTAAAAGGGAACTCCCGTTTTTAAAGGGTAAGTCCTGTACATTTTCTTCATTATATTCTTACGAATGTTTTTAGTCAAGAAAGTTTCCCCGATATACAATATGTCAGTTTTTTTTCCCGATACCTTCTGTACTCTTTTAGATATCCCATATTTTTGTTTCGGATATCTATGGCAAATCCAAAACTACCAGCACGAGCATGATGGCAATCCTTGCGATCAGCTGCATGGCCATCGTGTCACGTAAAGTTCGTACCGCTGTAGCGTACAACGTACGACTGGCATCTTTTCAAAAGCTGTTCCGATCAGTCAGGTAAGATGCTACGGCTCTTTTACTGCTTTGCTTTGCAGTAATCAAACATCTACCAAGTAGTAATCCACATTCATAAAGTTGCCGGCCGAAAAGCGAGTCCACCTTCTGTGCCGTGTTTGTGCAGGTAGAAAGGGACTGATGTGCGTTGTTTTGTCGCTTTGGATGACTCTGGTTTTGACTTCCTTTATTTCGTTCATCGTTCTTTTATTGTGCACGTGAATTTTTTATGTTTCACTTGTCCGAGTTACGTGAGTTTCCTTTCTCTGTTGAACGCTCGTTTTGTGTGTGCTTCCTGAAAGGTGTCACCGTGAATGGGGCGGGGCAGGGTGGTTGTCGCCTCGTCAGGCATGCCGTTGCCTATTGTGACGACCCACAGACAACTGCACTACTCATCATTTGGCTGAATAAAACTTTGTTTTGGTTTGTTTTTTTGCAGCACCGCCCATCACGTGTATATTTTTTTTAATAACCTTGTTTATTTTTTGGTCCAGATTTCAAGATAGCAACACCCTGGAGAATCGCAACCGCCTCTTTACGGCCTCTAAACAAATAAACTTTTTCGAACTCATGTATTAGACGAGCGATTATCAGTTTAACAGTGTAGGGTGTGTGAGACTGTAATGTTATTGCTACACCGGCATGTTTTATTTTATAAGCATATTAACAGTATTTGTTACTACATTGTCAGACACATGACGTTCTAAAGCCTTGCTCGAAATGAATAACGGGGGAATTAAAAAACACTGTGCCACCAATCAAAAAAGTAAAAAAATAGGAATAAAATTAACAAACATAGTCTAGAGAAAAATCACAAAGAAAATATATTTCACAATCTAAACCCCAACAGACGAAAAAATAAAATAACGAATAAGAAAATACAAAATATTGTCTTGTCTGTTAGTTTCTTTTTTTTTTTGTATCTCATGGTTTGCATTACGATGTTTCCTAGCCATCTCGACTGCATACGTTCGCTTCTTTGTATTTGCTCGATTTATAATTTTTAACCAGACTTACCGCTTAGAACTGCTGATAGAATATGCACCACGGCGAAAATAGCGAGCTTCATTTTGCTTAATGGCAACGTCCTATTGAAAGAGAAACAATCATATAAATATAGCCTAAGAACTCAACAACTCAACTTTTTCGCGAAATATAGAGGAAACGTCTTACGGTCGCTTAAGCAGAGCGCTGTATCACCGTTGTATGTATATTCTGCAGAAAGTATTGTGTATCCGTCTACTTATTCTGAAAAAAAATGCCCACATCATAATCCCTCAGAAAAGTATTTCTAATACATAAAAGTAAACACTGTTGCAAAATGAATAAAACTCATTTGACAATTAAAATTCGCATGTTGTGCAGGGAAGAGCGATAGCCACATGATACAAAATTTCTATTGCGACACGGTATTCCCGGGTTAACAGAAACAGCAAGGCTGCTTTGGTAACTGAATCAGGATACGTACGTTTCAACGTTACTAGAAACGTAAAAACCAACGAAAAAAAAAACCCTTTTTGTAGTAACTTTTATTGGAGTTTAGTACAAAATGGGGGGCGCGTGATGTTTTCTAAAATCTTTAGTTTGCTAGGTTTTGCGGCACAATAATATATTTTTCATACAACCATGCCTCAGCGGTGATTTCAGGTAGCGTGTCCCGACCTAGGCTCATCTTAACTTCGGGGTAAATTCGCGGCGCGTCCGCTGGGGAGACGGGGGTGGCATCCCTGTAACCCTTTCCACTGTATCTGTTTCGGCCTCGAAATGGCCGATTGAAGCCAAAATAGATGTTAGGTGCAGTTCCTCGAGTGACTGCTGCAGGGTAAATGGCGGCGTTGTGGTCGCCATTTGGCGCTTCAGCTGGGCTCTTTGGAAGGCTTAGTTATGAATCGAAAATATAGATGGCGCTTCGAACGACTCTTGGTGGATTGAAGTGAGTGAAGGGGGGTACCCGCCTCCGCGGGAGTTCCACAACTGATGTAATCTAATGACGTTGCTCAAAGCGTAACGATAGGCCTAACGTTAGGCCTAACTTCAGGCCTAACGTCAGGCCAGAGCATATACGCGTCCCCCCCCCCCCCCCCCCCCCTTTTTTCCCGCTGCGCTGAACTGTTCGGCTGGCCCCTTAGCAACGATAACGCCGTTGTTATGGAGCCGCGTGACACGTAGCCAATGGGAATTTAGGTATCGTTTCGCTGCTGCAGACAACGCCGGCTTCGCTCCATGGGACAGTTAATGCTTTCAAATAATAAACACTGAAAAATAAATTCCTTCCTTTAACAGAGAGTTTCCATGGCTTCCATACATTACCGCAAACGTGTTATTCTAGAGGTACATTGTAACATAGGCCACGTTTTGTATTTCCTCTAATACAATAGAAAACTCGTTAAAGAGATATGGAGTGTTAGCACGCGAACTTCAGTAGTAATGTTCAGTTATAAATTTTCTTTTTTTTTAATTTTGGAAATGGCGCAAGAAAACAGCGGGAAAAACAATGCAACATAGCTCAACAGGCCTACCTAGGCCAGTCTGTTATTTAACCGAAGGGTATCATGAATACAAGTTCACGAGCACAGATTGAACTCCTGTGGCCTCTAACAGCGCTGCATTGCGACAAAAACTAATACACAAGTGTAGCAATCTCGAAGAGAACTTACGTAAGGCTTCCTTGCTTCAAGGAACTTGATGGGGCGATTGCTTGTCTGAGGTGTGAAAAGTTTGCTGCGTTATTTATGTCCCAGGTAATAGGCGTGTTCCTCGCAACGGGCAGTTCCGTGAGAATTTTCTCGCCAATGGTAGCTTTGGAAGCAGGCGGGAGGAGACCAAGACTGCACCAGTAAACTTCGCCCTTACACTCGATTCGAAGAGGATTTTCCCGCCCCTGAAACAAAAAAACAAAAACAAAAAAAGAACAAATAATGTGCGTCTAAAGATATTATTTTTGATCGCGGTCTGTAGCTGCGTAAAGTTGTATGACCGTTTGTTTAGTTCTTCAAATATTTTTTTTTGTACAGGAGTACGATACACCTCTAAAACATTTTATTCTCAGCTCTGTGCTCCGCCTAGGGGCGACGACTATGCAAGGATTTGACTTACAGAGCTGTTTTGTTATCGCAGAGAGGCCCAGGATTGTGTTTAAGATAAAGTCGGGCAGTGTAGTCCGTTTTACTTCGAGTCCCACCTCAGTCGACGTTACCACCATATGTAGCCAATTAAACAGCTCCGAAAGTGCATCGTCATGGTGCTTATCGTTCTTACACGTTTGTTACAACCATCAAAACAAATCGCGCGGAGTAAATGCCACCCAATCCTGCGCTTTTTTCGGTGCGTGATTCGCTCAGCCGCTGATAGCGAACCCACAAAGACAACCAGTGCAGTGATCATGCATTTTTGGCGTTGCTCGATTTCCTAAAATACGGGGGAAACTTGGACGAGTTCGTGGTACATGTCAACGGTGACATAAACAGCTAAAAAAAAGTCGACAACAAGATGAGGTATACACACGAAGCGCTGGAACACATAAAGGAGCCCAGTGTTGAAGGAAAGATATGGTGGAATCGTAGCACCGGCTGCGGTCGAACTTGAAGTGAAACGGATGAAGTGAGCTCCAGAATGTAAAACTGTTTCGTGCTGCTGCCCAAGGCTCCAAGCAGTGAATCGAGCATCATCATGAAGGCAAACAATTTGAGTGTGCCACAAATTTGGTACAAACAATCCCTGAGGCTGTTTATTACGCCAGATAGAAAGAAATCTGTCGGCAACAAAACAGTGCATAAATGAACGCCGTGAAGCCTGTTGGCTAGGCTTGTGTAAGTACGATTCCGCTCTAAGAAAAAATGCAAAGTTTCTTATAATATGTGCGAAATATGCCGTGCCCGTGCACTTCATAAGCAATCTGTGAAGTTCTACCACTATAAATTATGTTGAACAAATATTGAATACTACTACTGAAGGGTTTTTGATTCTGTGTCCCACCCTTTGTTGTTGTATAAGCTGCGCTTTTTGGGCCTTGATAACAGCGTCTACCGATGGATAGAAAATTATCTTTTTGAAAGAAAGCAATGCGTAGTCATGAACGGTGCAATATCCAATATCTGAATTTGTTGCTGTGACATCTGTCGTTTCAAAAGGGTCAGTCTTGGGGACTTTTTTTATTTCTTGTTTTTTATAAATGACGTGACTCTAGGGATTGTCTCGCCTGTGAGGCTGTTTGCAGATCATTGTGTTTGATATCGTGGAGTAGAACAGTTCCGTGATTCTGCTATTGTACAATCTGATTTAGATAAAATATCCAGTTGGTGTCGGACGTGGCAATTGAGCATAGTTGTAAACCCGAGACTGGGGATGCGGACAAGGGACAAAACACAGAACGACACGGACGAAGTCTCAATGCTGACAAGTGTCTCCGCGTCACTTTCGGGAAAAAAACGCGACAGCATCTTATCGTGGTGTTCTCTTAATGATCATCATTTACATAGAAACATGGATTGGAAGTATTTTGGAGTCATTTTATCAGGCAATCTTTCGTTTAATGCTCGCCACACACAATCTGTACAAAAGAATGGCAGAACGTTAAATTCTATTAACCGAAATCTACGCAGTGCTTCCAAAGAGCTAAAAGAAACTACTTACAGCTCCTGGTAAGACCGATGCTTCAATTGCATGTGTTCTGTAGGAACCGCACCAAGCGTGCCTTGCCACTAAAATAGAAAAAAATATTCAAAACCGTGCTCCAAGGTTTGTATCGGGAGCGTACTATAGCACGTCCAGTGTTAAAGAAATTAGTCGTCAGATCGGTTAGGAACTATTAGATTTCGTCTATTGTTCGTCTAAACTTTTTAATTTTTATTTTTAGTAACTTAACTAGAATTGATAAATAAAAATATTTTGAATGGCCAAACTATTTTGCAACCCGAATGGATCATTGTAACAAGATCGAAAAAATATTTTGCAGAACTGATTATAAAAAGTACACATTTTTGTTGTACGATAACAGATTGGAATCCTACGTCATCTGTAGTAAATGCATCAGCAATCACTACAGATGACGTAGTTTTTTTTTATTCAGATTCTTAAATTTTCACATTCAAGTGTTTGTGTGTGTTGTTTTATTTATAGTATATATTGGGTTTATGTTCGTGATTATGTGCTTATTTTGTGTTTCCCTGCTATAATGCTTCGGAGCTGCAGGCTGTTTGTATAAATAAATAAATAAAATTAATAAAAAAGGGTTACGTCTGATGAGGGGATGTTTCTAGACGTACGAGCTCCATCAAATGTTAATTACCTGATTTACAGAGTTATTAGACGTGCAAAACTTGGGATTCAAACCAGAAAGCTCAAGGTTTAAATACCATCCGGGCAAGGATTGTATTATTAACTGGTTATTTTACTTTTTGTGGTAATTCTAAGATGCACTCTCGCAATTTTTACACTATCGCGTGGTGGTCACGCAAACCTCTATGAAGGACACTTATGCTGGTGAGCTCAGCATCACATCCACAGGTCCGGCAATGAGCTGACAAATGTCCTGCCGATGTACCCTTCACGGACGCTGCGTATTCCCTTGCTCTTTCGTTTATACATCGGCCCGTTTGGCCGATGTAGCTCTTTCTACAAGAGATGGGAATTCGACACACGACCTCCGTTTCGCATGGAGCATAGCGAGTTCTATAACCTCTGTAACATATCCTGTGTTGTTCACGTCCTCTGTTGACCCTGTGGCACATGGAGTAGGCTTTGTTCAGTGGCGAACAACCTGCATATCTTGCCTGCCTGCGATCTTTTTTAGCCTGTGGGTCAGTCCATGGATGTAGGGCACAACTGCGATTTTGCAGCGCGCTGCATGGAATCACCGCTTCCTCGCTGCTTGCTACTTTATGCCAGTGTTTCTTGTAGATTCTCTCACGTACACCTCTTAGGAGTGCACTCGAGCAACCACACAAGCGTAGTCGGGTGATCTGTGTTTTTAAAACATCTCTCAACTTGATGATGGCAGGACTTGTTTAGCGCAGAGTCAAAAGCCGTACTCGCAACACTTCTTTTGATAGTCTTCGAAGGATTCGACAC